GTTAATGGAGTGTCAAGTTGGTATGGGTTGTATATATATTATCTTTAAATAATACCAGTCATTGCCAACACCATTCAATCAATGTCCATATTCAATTTCTAGAGGCATTCCTTGTTGATTTACACTAACAGTTGTATTTCTTTGTAAATATATTATATGACATTTTGTCTGTATTTTAAGAGTATTATTGCCCACAACTGCAATTATAGACCAAAAAGTTTTATAAATATATTATGAATGAATGGATAAGGAAATGACATGAAAGAGTAACTGAATTAATAAATGAATGAATGAATGGATAGCCTAACCAAATAAATAAATGAAAGAATAAATGAATGAATAATTGACTGAATAAATAATTAAATAACTGACACAAATGAATGAATAACCAAATATAAAAAATAACCAAACTGAATCAATGAGTTAATAAATAACCAAATAAATAGCTGGATAAATAACCAAATAAATAAATGAATATATAAATTGATAAACCGAGACATGGATGAAGTATATGTCTCTCTAGAGTAATATTGATAGATATACTCAACCTCTATTTTTATTATCATATATACATTACCTGTTAATTGAAATATAATGTTTTTACATGTCTATCTAAGAAGCAGAAACACGTTTTTCAAATTGAAATTTTTTAATTTACAGTCATTATTATGTGGGATTACGTGTTGTTAATATTCAAATTTCTGAACTCATGTGATATTGAAAAACTCCTAAAGCTACAGTACAGCACTTTAACCTCCATGAGTCACATGTCAGTTGCGAAGAGCATTCAGCAGTGGAATAGCTTAGTCCGAAGTTAGTTTGATTGTCTGCTAAGCGACATGGTGCCAAGGGCTAGAAAAACTCTGATGCCAGAACGTTTTTAACGTTAGAGAATATACAACACTGTGGCATTATCGCAGTGGCTGAACCAGAGGGGGTACATAGAGGGTGGGTTGGTTTTCTACTGAGAACCCTCTCATACACTCCATAAAGGCTTGGGACAATACGCCTCTATAGAGCTTTCGCTTTTTTTTAATTCAGACTCGACAGTTGTGCCCCCATTGAGTCAGTCTGTACCCCTTATCTCAGGACGCTTACTGGACAGCTGTGAGCAATACAGTCTTCATTGTCATTTTATTCGAAAATATCTAATTCCTGTACTAATCTAATGAGGATATTTTAATACAATAGAAAACAGTAGAAATATCGTGTACTTTCAATGAAAAGTTATTGATCAGAAATAACCTTGAGATGGGAACACGATTCTATATTTTTCTCTTTATTGACTTATACTTGATACAACAAAACATTATTCAAATTACATAGTGTATTCATATAGCGTATCATTCATCTTGTAGACAGTTCAATTAATGTTTTAATTTGCTTTATATTGCTGGAAATTCTGTAACAATAGAACACGCAAAACAACGCAATGTGCAAGAAATTTGCAAAAACAGCATATCATTCATTGGGGAGACATTTCAATCAAAAAAGTGAATTTTGGAAGCATAATAACCCGTATTCGAACACAAGCAACACTATGCAGTATGCAATATGGGAAATATTGCAAAAACAGCAGCATTAGTCTGCACTTTTCCTGTTTCCAACTATCCAGCAATCTTATTCTTCTACATACCTGATACCACTTTTTATTATGAAATGCTTATGACAATAGCTGCTACCAATGTTTCACCAATATGTTGTTTGGATATCAGTTTGTGGATCTGTACTTGGTTTGTACAGCCTATAGGACAAGGGAAAACTGGAAAGTTTTAATTTAAAGAACTAATTGAAGGACTGACTGACCGAGCATAGACATGTTTGAATGTCTGATCAGCAACAAAGTTTCTCCAGATAATAAACCGAATCATCATTTACATCTGTTATTATGTTATACCGGTTTCATTTTCATTAGATGTTCCATTGCTATACATAAACTATCAGGCAGATTCCAGACTACCTTATCAGACTGGCACTGGAACTTCCATGATGAATATTGGTTTTAAAATCAAATTATATACAACATGTATGATATATGTAGACTCTGTAGAAGATCAATATATTTCATACCAAGTACTAATATTGTAGACATCATTCTTACCATGCTTACGTGCCAATAAAAAGACGGGACTGTGTTTCATTTTATCTAAATAGCTTTGTAAAAATTTTAAAAATTCAAAACAGCCTTTTTATATGAGAAAGGTTGACCAAAACTCATTCATTATTCATGAATTGTTGTGTTCATATTTACAAAACAAAACATAAAATGGTTATGTACAAGTATGTGATTGGTTGGTTTAAAATATCATGTGATACCAGTCCCTAATAAAAGGTTTACCAGCTCAAGGAAAACACAGTAGAAATGTATAATAGGTTTTGGACCTGTTAAAGGAACAATGTAAAGTCGGATTATTGATGGCAAGTGTTATATCTTGTGAAAAAAAAAACAGAGCGAAATATCTAGATCTTTATTTTAATCAGGTTTCAGTGCAGAATGTCTTGCTTTACATAGACAATACTTTAGAATGGTCAATAATGAAGGGTTGTTTATATCTGATTAAATCTCTATTAGCTCTTGTAGATAAACATCTGTTTATAACAATATCTATTCAATTAGATACAATAAAACTTAACTCCCCTGGAATCAAAAAACAATCTGTAGCAGAACCACTGGATGTAAAATGATAAATAACAAATAATTACAGAACAGCAGGATCCAGTTAGTAGAATTTCGGTTATTTTGACTTTCAACTTGTAAAATCATAAAGCTTTCCTACAAATTTTCAGATCAGGCATTCGTTGCTACAAAATACCTTTCCTGTGTTCATTTTGGCAAAACCTTAGTTGTTTTGTACTGAAGAGCTGTTTCATATGAGAAGCCAACTGAAGACAAAATGTTTTTTGAAAAACTGTGTTATAAAAGTTAATAACTGAACGCAGTAGGCCTATCATATTTTTACAAGTTACAATATCTCATATCTCATTTGGACTTGAGGATAGGCACCTTTCTTGTATCACAAAAGTTTGTAAATGCAGCCATTCGATTGGATTGTATGCCAGCAAATACAGCCAATCAGAGTCCTCAACAGAAAGACTGTCAACATTATGACTTGTTGTTTCAGGCTTTCTTCAAAGACTCTGATTGGCTGTATTTGCTAGTATACAATCCAACCAAATCGCTGCATTTACAAACTTTTGTGATACAAGAAAGGTGGCTATTGTAGTCAAGGTATAAGACGAAGCTTGACATTGTGGAGATGATAAGATATATATATTATAATATCTACAATTAAAATATGGCATTATGCCCAGTTATTAAAAATCGGAACTTAATAATATAGGAATATATAAGTAGAATGTATATTATATACCACTGTTACCATATGAAAAACTGTTACAGAACATACATTTATTGATTCTCTAAAAGGACTGAGAAAGAAAACCAAGAATATATATATCAGTTATTGTAAGTACATTAGAAGACTAGAGGCCTCCAAGTTTAGGTCAATACTGAGACACATAAATCTAACTTTTCTACCAGCCCTATTAAATATAATATAAATCATTGAGTATATAAATCACAGAATACCACTCTAGACATTATTATTCCCTAGCCTTTATCACTCTACTAGATCATCTGTTGAACATTATATAGATAGAGTATTTGTCTGGTCAGCAGGAACAGTGGTCAGATATTCTTAAATTGGTGCCACTTGGGAAGACATTGGATAAACACTATATATAGAGAGACAAATTTTGTCCTCCACTTCGTCAATTGTGATATACATTAGCCCCATAGATAAGGTGGGGTCCATGGGGGCTGGCCCCAGCAAATAAGAATAAGACCCAGCAAAGCTTCTTCAAATCATCAGAGTTTTTCAAATTTTCATGGTTGAAGACCCCAAGGCTTCCAGCCCCGAAACCCTGAGAACCCTTCATCCCCCCAAGCTAAGGCCCTTGTTTCATCAGCAACGCCTTAAGTGGAACTCAAATCCTATTTCAAAACCCTATGCAATGAATTTAGAGATTAAGTAAGCTCAAGCAACAAGCCTGTGTCATGTCTTACAAGGTTCATTTCTCACATTATATCATAGATCAACACAATCATAAACTTAAAAATTTAAAGCTGAAAAGCTTAGTATTCCATACATCCTAATCAACTATCATAAATATCAACGGGGAGGGGACAGCACCTGTTTAATGTTTATCATCATCAGTTATTATGATATATTACCATGTATTTCACATTAAATAAGGAATCTAGGACCAATAAATCGTAAAATAATGTTCTAACGCTATCAGTATACATGTTTTTCACTGTAGAATATAGCCAATTAACACCCTATGTGCAGGTTTATTTTACATTAATGGGAGGTGTATGAAAAAATTGTACATTAGTGATGAAGGTTTGATTTACTTCAGTAGTAAGTTTTGAAAAATGTTCAAAATGTTGCCAAGCTTGTTTCAATACCTGAACTAGTCCTAACCTTACTGACTTAAATGTGGCTGGTAGCTTTTGAAAGTAATTATCACTGACAAGGATGGTCATAATAGTTCATTGGTAGTTATTTCTTTAATCAGAAGAAAACTTTTATTAATAAATTACAATGAATCAGGTTTTAAAATTTGGATTTCCAGAAGAATATGTACCTTGTTCCTCCAATGGCATTAGGAAATTGGCACAAATAAATCCAAGCTATGCATAGACCTGTGTTAAATACTAGGTTTGAAGTGTAAACATGGGAATAGGTTAGGTTAGAGGAGAGGGGTAACTGTGAGAATACCACATAATTCAGGGAGGGAGGAGGGAGCAAGTGACAGTTTCATAGGGTATAAACTGTGTGCATATTTGGTGGGTTGGGGACCTCTAGCCCAAAATTTTGAGTATATGCCAAAATTTGTGTGTGGGGAGGTTGTAAGGTGGGAGGGTTGTAAGGGGGTAGGATACTCTGGCCGGCACAGAACTATGATCATGTCATATATAAATGAATGTAACTTACATTAGGATCAGAAGCTAAGGTTTTATGGTGGTAATTACTGGGTTGTATCGACCGTTTGGCAACTTTTCTATGTTGAAAATGGTAATAGTCTGGCATAATCTGAAATGATCAAATGAATAATTCATAAATAATGATAGATATAGTAAGATAGGTTTGGTTGTTACAATGCTGAGATTGTCTCTATCTTAGAGTTAGTCTTATTGATTCAGATTTAGATAAATACATGTCTGTTATTTGTATCACATTGTATGACATTCTGTTACGCCTTGATGTACTTATATCATTATACTTTAATCTTTTCGAAACACCTGATGGTACTTCTCTTTGGGAAGTCCACTACTATACTACCTTTACTCCTGATTTTGCCATTCTTTGGACAAGATTTTTGATTAACTGAATTGTCTTGCTCCTACGGGTTTTTATTACTTTGATATTTTGAAACCTTGTGGTTATGAAACAGTAGAAAAAATAGCATTGTGGGTAGGTATCACTGTATGTACTGGATTTAATGTACAAGTACACAATATAGACATTATCATCATGTCTTTAATGTCTGGTACTGTTCACCCCTGTTGACAATCTGTGGCCCGTTCTCAGCACCTTTACCTATTGACTCAGAGACATAATACAGGCTTACCACAGATCATCAATAAAACAATTCCTTTCAGTCTATATTCCTTGAGAGAACTTTAGTTCCAAACCTACTAATAGTAATAGAACTATATTGTGACATCCCCAAGCTTGATATTATAAGATAGAAGTCAGACAATAACAGTCTCTCGGCCTCGCATTAAAGTACTTAGTCATTATATTAGAATTATATTCAAGGAAGAGGTCCATTATGTCTTAAGTCTAGAGTATAAATTTATGAGAAATATAAAAACAGAACCTGAATTATGTTGTTACTCAGAATTTCACGCTTTGCAATTTTCAGACAACTGACCTGTTTTCAGCCTGCGTCCCTACTCTGAAGATAACACGAAACTCTGAGTAACAACATGTTCTAGGTTCTGTTTTAATATTTCTAAAACAGTTTATTTAAAATTTCAAAGAGACCTCTCAGGTATCTCCTGTGAAGTTTGTTTGTACCACCATGGTTTAAGAATCAGAATCTAGGATATCCTAGAAACAGTGTAAAAAGTAAAGACCTTAGGATATCCTAACGTTAAGATCATTTCGAGAATATGCGGCCAGGGTACTACTAGATATATATGGATATACCTACTTCCACAGCAATGTTATTATTTGTAGAGGTAAAGAAGAGAGAGAAATTTGATACGAAACTATAAATTTTAGAATGAGAGGTGATACAGGATGAACTATCTTATCTTGCCATACATAATTTTACTTTCCTAAAATAACACAGATACTTTATCTCTGTTTCAACTTTCATTAAATTTCACAGAAAACTTTTACATGTCAAAAAAATCATCAACACAAGCTACAGTTTTCAGTTCAGTAAACCTTCAATTAAGGATAGCTTTCAATCCAGGTAGATTGTTTTGACTTCTGCCTAGATAGCTTTCCATTCAGATGGCTTGCAATCAAGATAGCTTTCAACACAGAGAGTTTACATTCAGATAACCTAGTAAGAAAGCTTTTTATTCGGATAGTTCTTAGTCCTGATAGCTTTCGGTCTGGATAGCTCAAAATTCCATTCAGATTGCTTTCAATCCTGATATAGATAGCTTTTAGACATAACTGTGAATTCAGATAGCTTTCAATACAGATATCTTTCAATACAGATATCTTTCAATACAGATATTTTTTAATTCAGATAGCTTTTAATTCAGATAGCTTTCAACCCAGATAGCTTTAGATTTCATAAAAAAAATATAATCTTATTGCAGCATGTATAAGCTATACAAGTTGACAGTTATACTGGATGATTCAAGATGTTATAGAATTAATCAGTATATTTAATCTACATGTACACCTGTTATACCATCTGTATTATATCCAGTTCTCAATCTTTTTTTTAATTCTGTATGACGGACAGACACGTTCCTTGCATAATGTATTCAGACTGTTATATATCTAAAAGAATTTATACTCTTATGAGATTAAATGCACAAAATGTTAGTGATACCATTGTGTTAAAATTATCAAGAGTAACAATGACTGTTTGTTTGTAGACAGTTGAAAGTTTTACGTCACGCAAAATGTTTTTAATTATCTGCATTTTGAAATATATTTGACCAATCTTGTTCCTCAGATTTTTAAAAAAAGGAAACACCCTGATACGAAACCCTGAATATACATATTAAATCAAAATTAAGGGCAATGACAATGCAGATATTTATGCAATATGTATGTAACTACATATGAAATATGAAATATAAAACTAATCCCAAATGCATATACACACTTGTTGGCCTTTTTAAATAGGTTAACTTATTCTTATCATTTTTATTTTTTAACCTTAATAACAACAAAAAATCTAGATTTAAGAAACATAAAAAATAAAAAAAAACAAATTTCATGGCCACAATCTTGAGATAATAAGCAGGAATCTTTCAGCATGAAAACTGACAGTAGAATGGATTTACATTGGAGCAATTTGAAATGCAGAGTGCAATAAAGTAAATTTGAAATTTGCAACAACAGCACAATGCCCAGTTCTTTTTCAGAAATTTTGTATAGACATTACACAGGACTGCAGTTTATTGCCTCATCTGAAGGACCATAATTCATAAGCTTATATATCTAATCATTTGATATATCCATTTAATACTTCTAGACAATTAATTACAATAATAAACACATCACATGTCAAATTATCCAGTCATTTATATGGATAATGCAAGTCAATAGGACAGTCTACAGCCTGAAATTGATTCAGAACGGACTAGAAATGGACAGTGATCAACTTGTAGCTGATCAGAATAACAGTAATAACCAGTATTAGTTTATTATTAGTCTTGTACTTCCAGTAATTAGTACTAATAATAACATAGCCTTTGACAACTAGTCCTGTTTAATATTCCAACAAATTGGTACTTAGTCTTTATGTATAAGAAGTGTAGTACCAGTACCATTTGCAATTGTAATTTTGTAGAAATGGCACCTTTTTAAAGGCCAAACACAGGAGATGGAATTAAGGTTCTATTTAAGATCAATATAATTGTAAAAATAAAATAATCATCAAAAAAATGAAATCAAAATACCAAATATGTGAAAATTGAAAGATGTCAAACAAGTTTAAGATGCGTTTCAGATAAAATGGTTTTTTAGTTCTGATGAAGAATTGAACACAGGAGCTTCACAAGACAATAATCAGTGGATAAGAAGGTTCAAAATTTGACTGTAACCTGTGAACACTATAACTCATAAGATAGACTAAACACTTTCCTTTACTGAGACTAAGTTACAGTTGATAGAACAGTTCTGAACGTGTCTCGTTAAAAACTGAAACATATCACCAAGATTCTAAACCCTCTTGATTTCAAAATGAAAAAAAAACCACTCCAAATTATACCATATATATTATATTAGAAGGTTCAAGAGCTTGTACCAAAATAAACCATAAAATTTGATATCAACCACTAATGTATCTGAACTAGCCAGTAAAAAGCCTAATTTTATTAAATGGTTGAATAGGTTTGTTAAGAAGACTAGACTGTAATATAACACTATGAATGGATATAAATCTAATGTTTTTATGAATGAGATCAAGATAATGATATGGGAATTAATACTCTTGGATTGTCAACTATTTTACTTCTTTATTAAATACACAAAATTAAAAACTCAGATATGCATAGAATTTCATACAGTGAAGTCAATAGGGGCATTTTGTTGAAAACGTAACATAAGATGATATAAGTGCTTTGGACATTTGAATGAAATTAGATACTAAAATTGAAGATTTGTTAGAAAAACCCAGAAAGGAACACCCAAATTTTACAAGGATAACAAGTTAGATTCATGAGGATCCTGTCTACCAGCTATAGTCTGTGGTCAAACCTCTTGGCATTGGTCTTTCCAAGATTATCTATATCCATTTACAGCTGTACTGACGGGAATACTAACAAAAGATGACACCAGACTTTCACATGCCTACATGACCTTAAGCTGGTGGTCAATCCAAGAACATGAGTAAAAGTATTAACGTCAAATTTGTCAACCATGTTTCTGAAATCAATCATGGAAAGAAAATATGCCTGGTCTGATCCAAACCCAGAAAAGAAGGCTTAGAGCTGACTGGTGTAAAAGGGGCTTTAATGGACTTTATTTGTTAATGTATATCATATAAACAAAGACAACCTCCATTAGCAGATCAATATTTCTGACTGAGTTTCTGAATTCCAGAGAGAAACAACAGTCAACATCAATCCTAGATGTAATTCACCTTACAAACATCAACTTATTTAACTCCCACATATTATACCAGGAAACATTTTCCTCCGTCCAAAAACAGGAAATAAAGTTGTCATGGAGTAGACAAAATAAATAAGTTTCTGTGGATAGAGACGTTTCAGGAGGGACATCAGATATCATGGGACATCGAACAACATACATCATGGAAACTGAGGAAACATTGCTTCTCCCCGATTTAAAGGCAGAATTTATTTTTAACTAGTAATTTTGAACAAGAAGACATCTGTATTGAATCAAAAAGTTTCTGTTATTTTGAAATTATCCAGTACATTTACTTTAATGAGAAAATATTTGATATTTTTAGCAGTTTTAAGTAGAGAATTTTTCAACACCTTATTATAAACTGTTTAGTTGAATAAAAGTGAATAACACTTGTTCCTCCTTCAAATTATGATCTAAATAAAGACCTGTTGATGGAACTTGTTATTTAAAGTAGGATTGATGCCAACATATGTATAACTTTGTTGTTTCTGGTTAAAATGACAAGAAATGTCATGCAGTGGGCGATGAGGGAAATTTTGCAAGGATAGCAGCCTTCTCATTTTAGATTTCCAATTGTTGAGGAATATTCAAAGCTATACAAATTTGTGGTGAGCAATTGTCGTATTAATATTTCTTTGGTAAGCAACTGTCCAGGGAGCAACTGTCCAGGGAGCAACTCTCCAGGCAGCAACTGTCCAGGGAGCAACTGTCCAGGGAGCAACTCTCCAGGCAGCAAC